TTGGGCGATTCAAGCTTCGCGCTCAAACTAAATTCCATGGCAGTTCAAATTTCCTGGCGATATTCTGACATATTGCGCTTAAACTTAATCAGTTTATGCATGTAAACATTCACTAATCAAAGTTTCAATCATCCAGTTGCTCATCAACAGTTTCTCTTTCAACTTGAATACTTTAGGTTGCAGTGGTTATATTTGCTACATACGTATTGTCGGATGCGAACCACAAACTCACCCCGCAGACGGCGTTCGTTTCTTTGTCTCTCCTGAACATTCTAAGAATGCCTTTGACGCTTGTGCCAATAATTATCTCCTACCTGGTTCAGGTAACTGTAATATCATTTATCATTTTATTTACTATTTATTTCTTTCATTTTATATTATCTTTAATTTTTGACACTGGTGAATTGCACGAAAATCGTCTACTAAGTGTTCGTGGAAGATCTCTTGACTCTGCAGGACTACTGTCATGGGATAGCTCTTGTCATGTATGAATTCTGCTTTAGCTGACAGGTTCGTTCACAAAACTAATAAATTTTGCCATTACATTTCAATGTTTGAACATTGTCTCGTACAATGAAAGTTTGAATTAACCACCTGTTCCGTTATCCGTCAAATTGATGACTTGATCGAACTCAGCCATAACATTTCAGGCATAATTTGAATTTCATTTTGGTAAATCTAACCTAATCGACAAACGACATACTAACCCAGGTCCTGCTATATGCATGATAATAATATCACTTGCACAGATAAACCAGCCAAATTCCACGTCGCTACGTTGTTAACCAGTTCGTCTTTGTACTGTATTGATTTTCATGCAAGACATTGTATAGTCATGTAGCAATGATTAAATTTTGCTTGAGTCTGCGGCTGAGTTCCGTTCGGGTCACTATTTTTTACACTGCTTTTACTCCAATGTTGCTATCTGTCAATTTGTAGTATCTTCTCTTCTATCGTTTGTGGTATCTAAGATTGCTTGTTAGGTTGTTGATTCAGTGGGAAAATAGGAATACCAAGGAAAATACGACTATTCGTTTAAATTCAAGAGTCACCTGCGAATAATTTATCCATTTTCATGTTTGAACTCAATTTAATGAAGACGACCTCATTCTCTCTGTGGATAAATCAGCAACTTTATTAGTCACAACACTAAGTTGTCGTTCCTGATTATGACTGCTGCGGCTGTCACCATTACTGATGTAGTCGGCTGCAATGGTATCTTGGCTTTCCCTCTGTTGATATGCGCAATCTCAGACTCCAGGTTCTGCTGGTTTCTTCACTGTGACTTTTTCCGGTACATTGCCCCCAACAGATGACTTCCCTGTCCCTCTTACGGTACTCCAAGAGCTCTTAATTTCTCCCTATCTTTCCCGCTGCCGTCTATGGATGGGAGTGGCGTTCACTGTTACAGAGCAATGTCATTTGGTGGACGTCTCCGCATATCTCCAGCCAATGTAATTGCAGTTACTTTAAAACAGTAGAGAGTTGCATGGTGTTGCAATAGGCATGAGTTTTGGTATTGGATATATGGTCGATCAATCTAAGCATATGACACGCGTGATGCAAATGGTCGAAGGATTCTAGTTTCTTCGTGTCATTGACTCTTTCGGTTCAGCTCTCACATCCATGAAGAAGGATGGAGCAGATACCACCATGTAGAATTCAGCATTTTATAGGTAGGTTGATCCCCGTCTTTTCCATGGCGGCTTGTAATGCTGAAGGAAGGCTCCCGTTACTGTAATACCCATAGCAGTGGGTACAATGCATTGATCGTTTCCGACAATATCAAGAGAATTTGCTCGAAACAGGTCAATTTTACGTTCAAAAGAATCTTCAATTATCGTCTGACCCTTCACTTGGGTCCTGCAAACCCGGTTAGATACTGTACTACTGCTAACTAATGATTTCGCCTGTCTTTGACAAGGGGCTTATTTCCGCTTAGCGCAGCGGGCTTCTTTTGCGAACACCATGCGATGATTACAATGGTTAATCGCTGAACCCTTCCACAAC